GGCCACTCTTGGGGCTTTCGAGGTCGCTGAGCACCAGCGTAGGCAACTGGACTCGGCCATCTTGAGCTTCTCTTGGGGCCCCCGCGAGGCTCGCTCGTAGATGGTCCGGGGCCAGGTAAGAGACATCGTGGATGCTTGTCGGGATCTCTTGGGAAGCTTCCGGAGAGCCTCTTGGGTTATGCCGGGCGTGTCCCCCTACAGGGGGATTTTCGACGAAAAATAAAAACCCCCAAAATACCCCAAAATGGCAACAAAAAAAATGCAAAAAATAGTCCCCCTACTATTTTTTGATTATTTTTGGGGTATTTTTAACTTTTCGTCGAAAATCCCCCTGTAGGGGGACAGGCCCGACCTAACTCTTGGAGGCAAGTTTGGCCTGTCAGGGGCCGCTCGCGGCCTCTGAGGCTTCTTTCGGGGCCTTCCATGGGCTTCTTGGGGCCTCTCGGGGGCTTCTTGGGGGCCGTCTCGCGGGCCTCCCGGGGTCCTGCCGGGGCTCCCGTGGGGCCTCTCCAAACTTTCTGGGGGACCTCTATGGGGGGCCTCTTGGGGGCCTCTCGGGAGCACCTTCGGCTGTCCTGAGGCCGCCTCGGGGGGCCTCTTCGGCCGCCTTGGGCCCGCGTTGGGACTCTCGTGGGGCTCTCTGGGGCGATCCTGCAGCACTTCTGAGGCTTGAAACTCCCATCGGAAGCGGAAAAGCGAGAAAGCCAAAAACATGTTTTAAACAAAAGCCTGGTTTTTACGATTTGAAGATCTCAGGGGCGTCCTCCCAAGGCTCCAGGGGGCCACAGAAGAGCTATGTCGGGATCTGCTTGGGACAGTCAATGGATCCTCTTCTAGCTTCGTGGAGCTCTGGAGGCCTCCTGGGGTAGCCTGGTGTGGCCTCCTGGGAAGAGTGAGCCACTCCCTGAACGACTTTGGAGATCTCTGGAAGCCGAGATGGCCCCCTAAAGGCCCCAAGAGAGCCCCCAGACGCCCGGGGGCAAAGTGTGTTGCCGGGGGGGGGAGGGGGGGGAGTTTCGGAAAATTGGGCGTGGCTTAATGGGGGGGTCACAAATGGGGGGGTCAGAAAAGGTCCCCTTTCGTGCCCCTTTCGGGCCCCTCCAGAGCCCCAGGGGGCTCGTTTAGGTACCGTTTGGGTACCTTTTCGGACCACCCTCGCCACCCCCCCATTTATGACCCCCCCCTTACGCAACGCCCAAGAAAAGTGGGAGCCCCCGGGTCCGGGGACCTGGTCGCTGGTTATACTGAGTTCTCATGCTGCGGCGCGCACCTCCGAAGTGCCTCTGCAACATCGGCCCTCTCGACTACACCCGTCAGGGCGGAAGATTTTTGTTCTCTTGGGCCCAGGTGACATGTAGCCACGATATGTCTGGGTGGAGTTGCAGCGAATATGAGTTAAGAGTGCACGGATCCGATATTTCGACTCTGATGGAACACGTATATGATCCCCATCCGTGTGGACAGAATTTCGTCTTCTCCAAAGATGAATCCTGTCCAATCTTTCATGTGGATCTACCGTTGACCCCAACTCTCAAATACACGATTCAGCGACATCGAAGAACCGACAATAACATAGAACCGAGGCCATAGGGCCCACCCGTGTTAACATTCTACGGGGGCAGGGTTCGCGGTAGGGAGTGACGCGGCTCGCACTTCAAGGGAAAAATCTCTCCTTCGCAAACTCCTCCTCCTCCTCCTCCTCCTCCTCCTCAGCAGCATCCTCCTCCTCCTCCACCTCCTCATCCTCCACCTTCTCCTCCTCCACCTCCTCCTCCTCCTCCTCCTCCTCCTCCTCCTCCTCCTCCTCCTCCTCCTCCTCCTCCTCCTCCTCCTCCTCCTCCTCTCCATCCGCTTTCGCTTCCGCCTTCGCCTCCTCCTCCTTTCCTTCCTCTTGCCTGTCAGACCCTGCCCTGCCCTCCGCACCGACAATCGCGTAGTGGTCATCGCTCATGGCAACATCCCCCCCCCCGCCTACCGCCTTCTGCGGCAATTTGCGCGGGGGGCAAGACTCAAGGAGCCCGCACGCTGGGCAAGACACGTGGGGCGTGGGGTCAGACGCCGCTACTCTGGCTTAGGTCCATGTCTGCGCCACCGGGCCGCTAGGCACTACGTGAGATGTCCTCAGGCCTTCGATCGCTCACACTTGCACGCAGGCGCTGTAAATGTCAGAGTCTGCGGTTCATCCCGCAGCCGTGCCTTGGGGGCCTCCTGGGGACTGGTGGGGTCTTAGGGGCCGTCTTGGGGGCGCTCAGGAGCGGTCAAGAGTTCTGGCAAATCTGGAGCGCTCACAACTGTACAGCGCGCTTATGATGACCCATGTCGTGGCTCCACCAAGGCAGTGCCAAACGAAGGCTCCCATGGCGGGCAGGTACCATCACGCCATTGAGCGCCATAGCCTGCGAGCAGATTGTGATCTCGATCCCGAAAGGGTTCGCATTGAGGTTTGCAAGAAGTCCCAGGCGGAATCGCCATGTCAAATTTGAACCGAATGGCTTCCGACTGCTGTTTGGAGGAAGCATTGTGCGGAATCGCCATTTCGATTTCGAACCCGAAAATTCTGGCTTCGGTAGAAATTCTTCGTTCGAGGAAATCTCAAGCGAAATCGTCGTTTCGACTCGGGCAACCAGTCTTGCTTTCGAAATTTAAAATTTTGCAACCCGAAAACTCGTAAGTGTGGTTTCTCGCTTGGGGCTTCAGAACAAATATTTCGACCTGATGTCGGAACCCGTCGGCCCTGAATCGACATGGCGATTCTGCCCAATGCTTCTTTGCAGAAACGTGTTCGACCGAAGTCGAAACTTCCTGGTCCGAAATCCAAGCTGAATGAAAATGTTTTCGCTGCGCGAAGCAACGAGGCGCCCCCCTGGCAACATTGCACTAAGGCCCCGTCGTCCAACGGGCCCTTCTCGAAATGTCCTCCGTTGACAACATTGCATCAAGACCACGCCACCGAACGGGGAGAACTGAATGTTGGCCCATCTTCCGTAGCGGCAATGTGTAGGGCACTCCACTACGTGTTAAAACCATGATGGCAAATACTCTAAAGGGCCGTAGACCCCCCGACTCACGGGCGTCCGTGCGCTCTCCCAAACGTTCCTGGTATCACTTACCCCACAGCCTCGCATGCGACGTTTGGAACCAACATTTCTCATGTGCACCAGAATTTTTCACCTGACCAATCTTGGGTCTCTCGGGCGGGCCATATTGGGGCCCTTCGAGGTCGGCTCAACAAACTAACGGGGCTTCAGCATCTCAAACATGTGCGTGCTTACATATATATATATATATATCAATAAGTATGTGCATTGATGTACACACGTATGTATACATATGCACCACTAAGACAACCTTTCACGTGACAAAAAAGAGAGAGGGATAACTGCAACTTTCGGATCGCGACTGGCGCTGGACAGGATGCACACTCCATACATCCAACGATCCCGCTGCCTGTGCATATCAATTCCGATCGGTTGCACTGTGCTTCTATCGAACCCGCTACCAATATCTCGATCGGCCCAACTGTGTATATATAGATCGGCGATGTATGCCGATAAACGGATCAATCGAAGACAGAAGCTGCTGCCCGACCCCACAATTCATAGATCCGTGGATACAAGCATAATACATGGACAAACGCATCCTTTCATTATTGAGTATGACGCTGGGAACTCCCCTCATGAGATCCAGGGGGGGGCACAACGCCGACCCCCCCCCTTTAGAATCCCCACGACGGCCTTCCCCATGACGGCCTTACAAATTGCCCAGACAGGCCCAACGGACGGCCCCCATGCCTCCGAGACATCCAAGATGGCCCCACGATGTTTCATGACGGCCCTAAATGACCGACGACGTCCTCAAGATGGCCCTCGAGAGAGCCCAAGGCCCCCAAGAGGCCTCCAAAACGGCCCACGAGGCCTCCAAGAGGTCCTCCAAGAATGCCCGCCGTAGGGGCTCTCACATCGGCTACCCGAGGAATCCGACGGATCCGCCGAGGTCTGCTTAGCTACCCGCCCGTCTCACCGTCGATCTAGCGACCTTCTTATGATTCCGCAGACGGTGCTGGCACGTAGGGGCTCCCACTTCGACTGCCCGAGGCATCCGACGGGTCCGCCGAGGTCTGCTTAGCTCCCGGCCCGTCTCACCATCGATCTAGAGACCTTCTTATGATTCCCCGGACGGTGCTGGCACGCAGGGGCTCCCACTTCGACTGCCCGAGGCATCCGACGGGTCCGCCGAGGTCTGCTTGGCGACCTTCTCGTTGCTCCCCAGACGGTGCTGGCACGCAGGGGCTCCCGCTTCGGCTGCCCGAGGCATCCGACGGGTCCGCCGATGTCTCGCCCCGTGCCCCGCTGGCGGCAGGTCGCTGGCGCTCCGCGGGCCCGCCAGGAGCCGCCGGGGAGCGCTCCGTCGCCACGGGCTCGGACGTTGCTCACCCAGACGCTCACGGCGGGCAGTGCCAGGCAAGGGGGTGCGCACACGGGGATCTCCGCGTCGAACGGTGTCAAAAGCAGCCGGGTCGAATCGGAAGGCAGCGCTCTCCTCATCACGCACCAGCGCTAGCAATATCTTACTCGACGCGGTGAAAGCCATCCAGGGTGACTATGGCTGGACGGTGTTGGCGATTAGTTACGACAGGGTCCTGCCTGTTTAGAAGCAGCAAAGAGCCAGAGAACAGGCGGCGGGAAAACTGATGGCAGAATGGACGATGCATTTTCCATCGCAGGAAGAGGCACGATCGACGGGGAGGCAGCAGTCATGAGTGTCGCCGCAGAAGGTGCAGAGGGATGGGAAGCAGCAGCGGCACGGGGGGATAGAGCATGCCGGTGCGCAAAGAACAACCGTGTGCGCGTTCGAAGCACCGACTCGGAACCCGGCAACGATGCAACACCACCAATGCTGGCCAGGCCTCCCTTGGGCACAGCTTGGTGTACGTACACCCCGGGCCTCGGCGAGGCGGGTCAAGACACCAGTCCAAAGCTCCGGACGGGCCTGGTCAAATCTGGCGGTTGCGATGACGGCTGGCCTCCAGGGAGACGGTGGCAGCCGGTCCTCGCGGGCGGGCTGGGCATCGCAGCCATGGGGGGGGGCAGAAGCTGCCGCACAGCTCGCGACGCAGCGCAGTGGTCCATCGCCGGCCGGCGCGCCGTGCCCGCTCACTTCATCCCGGCGAGGTAGGCTCTCGCCTGGGCGCGGCAGCCCGCGCCCAGATGCAATCAGATGCACACGCCACCCTCGGAACAACTTTTTTGGTCTGCGGGTCGAGAGCGAGCCTCTTCCGGTTAGGAGCTAGGCGGGCCGAGCAAAACACGAATTGGGGAGACAGAGCACAGGCGGGCGGGGCCTCAGGCGGCCGGAGGGCGAGCCGGGGTGTAGGCGGTGCCGAGGAGCTTGCACAGGAAAAGGAACGCCTTGGACAGGAGCCGGCCCCCCTCGGAACCAGCGGATGCTGCTTTCTCTCGTCCCCGCCCGAGTCCCCTCGGATCTGGTCCCTGGCCCCTCGCAGGCGCCAGCCTGTTCAGCTTCTCAAGTCCAGGCGACGAGGTCCTTCCCGCAGGCACAGCAGGAAGAAACCCAGTCTGCCCCCGTTGGGGGGCATCGTGCTCTGCAGGAGCCGCGCGAAGGGCCTCAGCGGGGCCCGGGGGGGGGGGGGCGTCGAACAGGTGTCGGAAACAATTAAGCAACACTCATGCAGAACAGATGGCTTGACCTCTCACCCCCTGCCTTCCCAAAATGCACAGCTGGTTTCGGACCTTCCGATTTGGGGCCTCCGGCCTCCGGGATGTCTTCAAAGAACGTGCCAATTTTGAATCGCGGGGGAGGAGGAGGGAATGCTGCTGAATCGCTTCCCTCAACCAGAAGTCTGCGGGTATCCAGGAGGAGGAGCAGGAGGAGGAGGAGGAGGAGGAGGAGGAGGAGGAGGAGGAGGAGGAGGACTAGGAGGAGGAGGAGGAGGGGGAGGAGGAAAAAGAGGACTAGGAGGAGGAGGAGGAGGAGGAGGAGGAGGAGGAGGAGGAGGACGAGGAGGAGGAGGGGTGTGGTCACCGCGAACGCACAAGCGATCTGGCGGGCGCCGCACGTCGAGTGCCGGACGCAAGGGGGGGATAGCACAGGGAGGGGTAGGGAACCACCTCGCGTAGATAACTGATTTTCGCGGCGCCTCCCAGCGCCGGAGGCGACCATGCATTGAGGACTCGTGAGTGGGAGGGCAAGGAAGACGTGCCCAAGGATGGGCACAAGTACCCTGCGCGTCGCGCATCCTTGGGCCCGCGGCCCCCCGCGAATACAAAAACTGCAAAAACGGGGCGGAAGATGGCCAAGGGTGCCTTGCCCATCGCGCATCCTCAGGGCCGCGCCCACCGTGAGTGGGAGAGCAAGGAAAATATGTCGAAGGATGGGCACAAGTACCCTGCGCGTCGCGCATCCGTAGGGCCATTGTACACCGCGAATGCAAGGACGGAACAACAAGCCCGAGGATGACCAAGGGTGCCCTGCCCATCGCGCATCCGTTAGGCTTGGCCCCCAGGGGCGTCGCGCCGCGCAACCGAAGGATGCAGCCCGCCCCATGGGTACCCTAAGGGGCTGGCCAGCGAAAGTTGCCAGGGATGGACCGAAGGGACAAGGATGCAAGGGTAACCTAGGAAAGTTGCTCATCCTTACTCCGCGGGTTGACTGTACAGTGGAGGCCAGTCCACAAGAAACCTTCCACGAGAGTCCAACCCTGAGACTACAGGGCGTCCCTTGATTTTTTGGTGTGGGCACGTCACGCTTTCCGTCGCAAAACCATCGAAACCCAAGAATCCCGGGGCACCCTGGAGGCAAGCAAGGTGTCTCTCTCCCCGTCGCTCGGACGTCGGGTCCCTGTGTTTTGTTCGGCTTCGTGCGTGGTTGTGTTCGCAGGATGATCTAGGACGCTCCTCAATTATCCCCGCCGAGAAACAGTGCACACGTCCGAGCGATACCAAGCTCTTGGCATGGGCCCCCACTGCACACGACCCGCTTCGGCCCGCCGCGGGGGCACCGCGGGAGCCCGAGGGGCCCGCGCCCCTTTTTGTTTCGAGGCCTCCTGGGCCGAGTGGCTCCGCACGGTCCGCGGGCCCCAGCAAGAAAGACTCCCCAGAGGATCCAGCACCTCACCAGGGGGAAGAAGAGGAGGAGGAGGATGCCTCCTCCTCCTCCTCCTCCTCCTCCTCCTCCTCCTCCTCCTGCTCCTTCTTCTCACGCCCTGGGGGAAGAACGCCTGCAGAGTGAGGGAGAAGAGCGCCCAGAAGGGAGGTCGAGCCCTCCCGGAGGATATCCAACGACTCCACCTTGAGGGTCGAAGCTCCGCCCTGGGGGGCCGCCTGGCTGGGGGAAGAGCGCCTGCAGAAGGAGGGAAAAGAGCGGCAAGCAAGAAGGTCGAGCCCTGGCCATCGCTGGGACGTCCATTCCCTGTGTTTGTGTTCGGTTTCGTGCGTGGCTTTTTCGCCAAATGATCCAGGATGCTCCTCGATGTTCCTCAATGCACACGTCCGAGCGATGCCAAGAGCCCTTTGGACGTCTTCGGCCCCGCGGGACGCGGCACGCCTCGCGCGGGACGGGGCGGCCACGGCGTTGGCAGTGGCGGGGGCGCCGCGGGAGGCGCGGCGCGCCTCCCGCAGAGAGGCAGCGAAGGCCGCAGGGTCTTTGGACGTCTCTCTCTCTCTTGGGGCCCTCGTGGCCCGGCCCTTCCCTCCGGAGTCCTGGTGGGGGACCGAGGGGACAGTTCTCCTCCTCCAACTCCTCCTCCTCCTCCTCCTCCTCCTCCTCCTCCTCCTCCTCCTCCTCTTCCTCCTACTACATGCCTCTAGAGACCTCCTGAGCGACTGGCTCAGGAGGGGAGGTCGTCCTAGAGTCGACGATCCGCCGCCGATGCATTGGCGGCAGGCCTTGGACGGTGAAACCGCACGTGTCTGCGCAGGGTCGGGTCCCGAAGCAAAGCTCGGCGAGATGTGCGGATAGGCTACAGTCAACCCGTATCGTACGAGTGCGCGGTAAGGATGCAAGGGCCTTGGAGGCCCATGTCAACGTTTTTTGAACGAGGCTGGCCAGCGAAAGTTGCTAAGGATGAGCCGAAGGGGCAAGGATGCAAGGGTACCCTTGGGAACGTTGCCCATCCTTACACTCGACCAGGATAGTAAGGATGCGCGGAAAGGATGCAAGGGCCTTGGAACGCCATGTTGACGTTTTCCGTGCGTGGCGCAGCATAATGCCGAAGGATGCCGAATACCGAAGGGGCAAGGATGCAAGGGTAGCCTTGGAAAGTTGCCCCATCCTTACTATCATGGTTGACTGTACTATGCGGGTTTTTGGACGCCCGAAATGGGTACGGAAACAATGGGTACAATGCCCAACAGCCAATGTTGTCCAAAACCAACAGCAGCCGCTGTTGGGCAGGCGGCCTTCTGTCTCACATGGACACCGTCCGCGGCGACACCGACAGCGAGTCCTGGTCAAAATGAACAGGAACTGCTGTCGGTTTTTGTACCCATACTTCCCGTACCCGTTCCGATCGTCCCGAGGGTTGACTGCATGGGGGCCGATGCCCCCCCTGGCCCATCCCCCCTATCCACGGCACGCCTCCCGCAGAGGAGCAGCGGCGGCCGTGGCAGGGAACAATCTGCACGCTGCGCGCGAGAAGGCAACCTTGGCGTCGGCGGTGCTCCAGGGGGTGGGCGACAGCAAGAAGCACGCGAGGGGATCCAGCCCCTGCAGCCGACACCGGCGGGCTCGCCCCCGGACGCCCCGCTGCGGCGTCTCGAAGGTGAGGGGCCAGCGCCTCAGCTGGAGGCCTCCCAGATGGGGTCGGAGCAGATGGGGTCGGAAGATCTCGCCGCAACGCCGACGCAGCGGCGACGTCCGCGTGGAGAAGATCGGGCTCCACATCGAACCGCATCGCCGATGCATCGGCGATGCGGTGCGATCCTCCGACGCCGTCTGCCTCGGACCCCGCCTGGGAGGTCCAGGCCCGCCTCTCATGGGCCTCGGCGGTGCGCAGAGGCAGGGTCGCCGCGCGGGCCGCCGGCCTCCTTGAGCGCGTCGACCTCGGCGGCGCGCGCCTCCTGGCGCTTGTCGAAGTTTTTGAGCAGCCAGCTGCACCTGGCAGGATCGGCAGGCAGACCGCAGGGGTGGCCGGGCGGGATGTCGAAGAAGAGGAGGCCAGGGCTGTGCAGTCCCTTCGGCGTAGGATACCCGCGCCCCCCCCCTCCCGCGATGCAAAGCTCTCCACCTCTGCCGATGTGGCGTCCGCGCCAGACCCAGCGGCCCGCATTTCCCACCAGCTCTCTGGACGGCCCGTCCCTGAATTCCTGCCCCCAGTGCCACGGGGAGGGGCTTAACTTTCTCCTCATCCCACCCCTGGGATCCCGATCTTGGGCGTCAGGGGTGCCTTGCTCACCTGCGCACGGAGAAGACACGATTGACCACAGCGTGCGTGGATACTTCTGGCCCTCGCGACCTCCCTCTGGAGGGCCGCCGCTTTGCGCCCACTCACCCTTTGCACCTGCCCGCCTCCGCTTTCGCATCCGAGGAGCTCCCAGTACCGCCAGCGAGGTTCCCAGAACGGCCGAAGAGAGGCTCCCAAGATGGCCGAGGAGGCACCTGCGACGGCACAAAGAGACCTGGAAGAGGCCCCCCCCAAAACACTCCCGAATGGCCCCCCATGCGGGCGCCGCTCCCGCAAGACTGCCGAAGGGACCCGCGAGACGCCCGAGGCAGCTCACCCGACCCCGCCGGACAGGATCCAAACCGGAGCACACACGGCCCACCAAGACCCGACCAGACCCGACCAGACCGCTCATCCAGACCACACAACACCACCTGGCCAGGCCAGAACAATTTTTTGATCTGCGGGGCGAGAGCGAACCTCTTCCGCTAAAAGCTGGGCGGGCTACGCACAGCTTTAATTAGGGAGACAGGGCACAGGAAGGCGGGGCCTCAGGCGGCCGGAGCGGGCGGGGCCCAGGGAACAGGCGGTGCCGAAGTCGGCCAGGCCAGAACAGGCCATACCAGAAGCGAGGGCAGGAGGGAAGACGGGAGGACACCAATGTGCCCTCAAGAAGACCGCAAGCTGTCTCCCCCCCCAAAAAATGGCGACACTGGCAGAGCACTGGACCGATCGGCACGAGAAGCCAAGAACCGCACGCGCATGCCGGCGATGCCGTGGCGGATCGCGCGCACAGCGGCTGCCGACTCCTTCGTGTGCACACGACGCGCAGCGGGCGACCTGCCGAAGACGCAGGGGAGCGGCCCGGGCGACTGGAGTGTATCTGATGATTGGAGGCGCGCTGCGTGTCAGCCTGCGTCCAACTCTCGTGCGGGCGATGCCACTGTAGGACCTCTGCATGGAAAGAATACGAAAAGGGCAGCATTCGAAAATGTAAGAACGACCTGCAGGCTGCTGGAAAAGTAAACGGACGGACGGGTGTCTTTGGGCTCTGGGCAGGGCAAGAAGCGGTGAAGTCCAGGCCGTGACGAGGTCTTGCACTCCACGAGCGGGCATGGGAGAGGCCGGGGTTTCAGGGACCGCTTGTATGACTCTGGCACGCACCTCGCCAGACATCGACATCGAGCCATGGCTCCAGCGTGGACCCCAAACAATGAGCTGGGGCAACCTGTGTGACAGGTTCCGGAAACTCTGAAGACCCAAACCCTGACATCCCTTGGAAGGGCTGACTTTTGCGGGAACTGGCGGAAGCCGGCGGAAGCGCCAGATTCCGCAGGCGGAGGCTTCCACCGCCTTCCGTCGTGGAAGATGTGCCAATTCCTTCGACCCTCGAAGATAGGGCCCTCTCTGGAACGGCCCCTGTGGCGCAATACGGAGAGCAATGCGGAGCAGCGCACTTCAGCCCAGTGGCTAGAGGAAGAAAAGCGCTGCATAAACATAACATTTTGGTGCTCCGAGCGGATTCATTGGATCTGCGCCGGATCCCCCTCCCTGTTGCGCGGAGCGCGCCAGGGGCGGCGCCAGAGGCGTCGCCAAGGGGGCCCCAAGCGCAGATCCAAGAGATCCGCGCGGAACGCCGAACGTTTATGTTTGTTCAGTTTTTTCTTCTTTCATTAGCGAAGCCTCATGCACGCCACGAGTGTGTGTGTGTGTATATATACATACATACATGCAGACATACATACATACATACATACATACATACATACATACATACGTACGTACGCACGTACATACATACATACATATACATATACATATATATATATATATACAACACCGTCCCACGAACCGTGCATGTACCTTCAGGGAGGGTGGCGGTGTAATAGTCGCTAGATATCAGTGGGCACGTATACACTGCAATCCTCCCCTGAGGCCCAGGAACAATCCATTGAAGGGCCTGTGTATACCAAAATGCAGGGCCCGACCGGTCATTCACCGTCCTGAGGGGGTGGCTGAAGTGGGGTCCTGCGGTGCGGATTTTTGTTGTTGTTGCTGCTGCCAGCTGCTGCTGTTGTTGTTAATGATGTTGTTGCTGTTGCTGCTGCTGCTGCTGCTGTTGTTGTTGTTGCTGTTGCTGTTGCTGTTGTTGTTGTTGTTGCTGTTGTTGTTATTGTTGTTGTTGTTGTTGTTGTTGTTGTTGTTGTTGTTGTTGTTGTTGTTGTTGTTGTTGTTGTTGTTGTTTGTGTTGGTGTTGCTGTTGTTGTTGAACTCTCATTTCTAAAGAATAATTAATGTCTATCCCCCCATCCGGTGCATAATGTTTTTTCGATTGAAGTGCCCTTCCCGGGGCTCGCACGCGTTTTTTTTTGTTTTTGTTTTTTGTTTTTTTTTTATCCGGGACGGTCTTGAGGGTCAAACTGTGTTGTTGGCTCCCGGTTTACAGCAACAGCGGCTCCCGCCTTATACTTCCTCACAAGTTATGGAAGAATCGCGCTCTCGCTTGGGACTTCCCTGCAACTTGCCACCGGATCGCGGCTCCCGCTTGATACTTCCTCACAATTCATTGAAGACTCGCGCTCACGCTTGGGACTTCCTCGCAACTTACCACCGAATCGCGGCTCCCGCCTCGTACTTCCTCACAATTTATTCAGAAGCCGCTCCTCGACACTCAAGAATCGCGCTCCCGCTACATATTGCCTGGCGGTTCAAGCAGAAATTACGCTTCAACGACCCGCCCGCTCGACCCGCCCGTGCGACCCTGCCGCTCGGTGGTCATCGGTGCCATTCCGAGGCCTTCAAGAGGTCATAGGAGGTTTTCGGGTGCCTTCCAATCCCCCCGCGCCTTGTTTCCACACCAGTCTCCGCTCGTATCCACCTGCACTCACTTTCCAACGTTCTTTCCCAGTCTTCTCTACTCTTTCCCTTTATCTTCATTTTAATTTCGTTCGTACTCCACTGTGCTATTCCTCAGTTCTTCGCATTCCGCCCACTCCTCCCCAGGCCACCCCATCCAACCCCAACAATCTCCTCCCCTTCCCGCTCGCACTCTGCATTTCTCCCAAATTATTCCCAGTCCCTCCTCCAGATTCCTCCGTGCGCCCCCCGCTTCTCCGCGCTCCTCCCGGTTCCTCTACTCCACTCCTTGCCACTCCTCCTCCTGAGACCCTAATTACTCTTTTCCACTCCACCCCAATCCACTCCACATCCCCGCGCTCCTCTCGACGCGGTTGCTGTTCTCACTATCCTTCCGCCCCGCTCTCCCAACATCCCGCTTCTTTTCAGGGTTCCACGAAATTTGTTTCTGACACCAGTTCGCAGCTGTACGTCCCCCCGTGGGGGTATCCACGATCTGTTCTTTCAAGGGGGTGGTACGTGGCGCTGTTTATGGCGCGACCCACGGCGAAGCTTATTGTTAAGCTGTGTTGGAGTGGCTGGCGCAAGCCATGGCGCAAGCTGAATCGCCACTCACAGCGCAAGTCATCGTCCTCCCTCCTTCTTGCCCCTCCCCTTCCTTCCTCCGGTCCCTTCGTCCTCATTCTCCCCCGTTATCTGTTACCCTTCGTTTTCAAAGGCTTGTTGTTGTTGGTTGCATACTCATTTCTAGAAAGTAAATATTGCCGATCTCTGAAAACGAAACTCCTGCTCGAGCGTTGGCTTGCATAAATGTGGGCCCTTGGAGGCCCAGCTACGATAACAACGGCTCCCGCTCGACACTTCCTCACACTTTACCCTAAGACACCCTGGCCAGAGAGGCCGCCGAACTCGGGAACGGCGCTCTCGCTTGAGCCTTCCTCGCAATTCAGTAACTTGGCGGAGGCCGAGCCACGATGACAAGGGCTCCTACTCGATACTTCCTCACGATTTACTACGAGAACCCCTGGCCAAGAAGGCCCCCGAACTCAGGAACGGCGCTCTCGCTCGAGACTTCTTCGCACTTCAGTCAGCGGCCGACAAGGAAGATATTCCCCCCGAAAGACGCTGCAATCGAAGACGAACTGGGCGGGTATCGAGGGTTGGGGTATACGGAATGCAGGACACGCGTGCCAGTACGAGCGAACAGTCTCACAATTATTTTTGTTGCTGCCGTTGAACTCTCACTTCTGAAGAATCATTATTGTTGATCCCCCCCTCACCGGTGCATATGGTTTTTCTCAGTCAAAATATGTGCCCCTCGACGCTCGCACCCTGTTTTTTTGACAGGGAAAGTCTTCCTGGTCAAACTGTTCCCCTGGTCCCCTGGACTACAACAACAACGGCTCCCGCTTGAAACTTCCCCCCATACGTTGACACTTCCTCCCAGTTTACTCAGGAACGGCGCTCCCGCTTGAGACTTCCTCACAATTTAGTCCGGGTCAGACTGCGTTGCTGCTCCCCCGGACTACAACAACAACGGCTCCCGCCTTAGACTTTTTCACAATTTATTGAAGAATCGCGCTCTCGCTTTGGACTTCCTGACAATTTGCCACCGAACCGCAGCTCCCGCCTGATACTTCCTGACAATGTATTATAAAATCGCGTTCTCGTTTGGGACTTCCTCGCAAATTACCACCGAACCGCTGCGCTTGATGTTTCCTGACAATTTATCCAGATGCCGGTCCTCGACACTCAGGAATCGCGCCCCCGCTACATATTGCCTCGTGGTTCAAGCAAGACTCACGCTTCAACGACCCGCCCGCTCGACCCGCCCGTCGGGACCAGCCCGCCCGACCAGCCCGTTAATGACTGCAGTCGCCGCTCGCTGCCCCTCGCCCGCCTTCGATGCCCCTCGCTGCCAATACTGGTTCCGCGGTCGCCTTCGCTCGCTGCCCTTCGTGGCCCCGTTGCTGCCTTCAGTGGCCCCGTCGCTGCCTTTTGTGGCCCCGCATTCTATGCCCTTCGTGGCCCCCGCTCGCACGCGCCCGCCGTGGCCCCATACGCATGCCCTTCGTAGCCCCACTGTCGTCCTTCGTGGCCCCCTCGCTGCCCTTCGTGGCCCCGTTGCTGCCCTCAGTGGCCCCGCTGTCGCCCTTTGTGGCCCTGTAAACGAATGCCCTTCGTGGCCCCCGCTCGCTCCAGTCGTGGCCCCATATGCATGCCCTTCGTGGCCCCGCTGTCGCCCTTTGTGGCCCCCTCGCTACCCTTCGTGGCCCCGGTGCTGCCCTCAGCGGCCCCGTCGCTGCCCTCTGCGGCCTCGGATTTTATGACCTTCGTGGCCCACGCTGGCTTTTCTCACGATTTACTTGGGAATCGCGTTGTCGCTCGAGACTTCCTCGCGATTCATGCAGGACTCACGCTTCAGCAACCCGCCTGCTCGACCTCGTCGCTTGGGCCCGCCTTCCCGACCTGCCCTCTATGGGTCTGCCCACCCGATCTGCCCGTCTGGTTCTACCACTTGTTTTCTGCTCCTTGCCCCCTCCTGCTAATTTCTCTCGTGCTCCATTCTTCTCACTCCCCCTTCACCCGTCCTCTCTTCCCTTGTTTAAGGGGCTGCACTAAAAACTCGTGGCAGGTAGGGAAGATATACCCGCAAGGGGGTACGATCGAAGACGACGAGGGCGGGTACCGAGGGTTTGGGATATACGTATTGATTGGCACGTGAGCAGATAGGAACGAACAGTCCTAAAATGATTGTTGTTGTTGCTGCTGTTGTTGCTGTTGTTGTTGCTGCTGTCGTCCCACTCGCGACACACCCGCGACCCGCCCGCGGCCCGCCCGCGGCCCGCCCGCGACCCGCCCCGCGACCCGCCCCCCTCGCTCCTCGCTCTCATCCGCAGCCGCGGGGTGCTTTTGCGGCGGATCCTGGGCGGGGCCCCGCGGGCGGGGGGGGGCCCAGGGCCACGGCAGGGCAGCGGCGCCGTGGGCGGGCGGGCAGGCACGTCTTGGTCTCAGGGGCGGGGCGCGGAGGCCAAGGGCGCGGGCACCGCCTGGGAGGGGGCAGGGAAAGGTGGCGAGGCGTAGTGCTCAGAGCGCGCCCCTCCCAACACGGCCTGGGAGGGGAAAGGGAGAGGGCGAGGAGCAATGCGCAGAACACGCCCCTCCCAAGAGGCCCCAGGAGGTCCCGAAGCGGCCCCCTAAAAGGCTCCCAGGAGGCCCCCCAAACTGCCCCGAAGAGGCCCCCGAGAGCGCCCCCAAGAGGCCCCAAGAGGCATCCGTGAGGTCTCTGACCCATAGCCCAGGCACGGTGGCAGGAGAGGCCGCAGGCCATCAAATAAGCATAACGAGAAGGAGCGGGAGGAAGCCTCGTGGGCCGACGGCGCAGGTGCTCTGCAAAGCGGGAGCATCTGCGGGGCCATCGAAGCGCCAACGCACGACGGCTCTGTTTACCACAAGCACACTTCGGGGTCGCTCAAGTTCGATCTGTCTTGAAGCTCAACGAACAGCGCGGCGGGGGAGCGGGCCCTGAACCACCACATCTATGGAACATGAATTGTCCCCTAGATCTTGGCGAACCCATAAGAATCGCGGAGAACCCCCAACCCGTCGGCGCGATAACCCCAGAGATTTGCCATAAGAGACCTTGGATATGGAACGGAGGCCCTCTTGAGTCTGAGCTGCGCCTAAATATACGAAGAGCGCCAGAGGATAATCGTTGGAAAGGGCCGAGTAACATCGAGCCCCTCCGAATCGTTAATAAACCTCATCCTAACGATCTGACTTCAGGTACTAACATGGTTTCGCTCTCGGGAGCCTCACGGGGCCTCTCGTGAGCGTCTGGGACACCTTGGGGCGTTCTGGGGGTTCTCGGCGCTCCCTGGGGAGGTCCAGGCGTCGCGCGGCCATCCGAGCACGCCTGTTTTTTTTCTGCATGGCGCCAGCGGGCCCCGGCTCGGACGGCGGACACCTACACCAAAACTTCTGCGCGCTCGTGCAGCAGCACCCAGGGCTGCCCGCCCGACATCTCGCCATAGTGCCCGTCTGTGGCGTTCGCTCGCTTGACCACGTGCAGCGGAACGCCGTCCAGGTCTGGCGGCGCCTCCAAGCCGTACTCCGAGGAGCCCCACATGCAATCAGGGATTGCAATGTAACCAGGCTCGTCGAATCGGGTGCCAGAGATGTCTGGATGGCCCGTGCCTCCGTAGATGGGCCGCGTCTCGCAGACAAGCTTACCGGTGCTGGAGTTACAGTCGCTCAGGGCAGTACCTCTGGAACAAGCGTACACCGACGTGGACAAACAAGTTGGCGCGTGGCAGTGGTTATTGAGAGTGACAAAGACGTGTCTACCCATCATGCTGCCGCTGATCGTGTGGATCCATGTTCCATCAACCAGCTCGCATCCAGGGATACCCTTGGCACACTTCGGGACATCGTACTCCCACGGCGATCCTACCAGCAGCGCGGAGCCGACCGACTCCCCCAGACTCAGGCGCGCGTGGTACTGCGCTCTGTATGGCTGCACCCAGAAGCGGTACTTGTGATGGAAGGTAAGCGGGCGGTCTGTCCAAGGTATCTCTTGGTCAGCATCGAGAAGCGACCACATGTGATTACATGCCCATTGCCCGCCGCGGTAATAGCGAATATCGCAAGTCGGATTCTTCTGGTCGAGAAGATTGGTCGCAGGCCACGCCGCGCACTTCCGGTCAAAGTACGCAGCCTTCCCGGCACCCACGTCGGCAGACTGATTCGTGGGCTGGTACAGCAAGGCCCCTCTAGCCTGCCCGAACGGCGTGGGGTCCCTGGGGCACACGCAGCGTGCCTCCGCCGAACATGCCGCAGCCAATGCGACGTCGTTGAAGAACACGCCAACACCGGTTCCCCCCGCATTGATTGCAGAGCAGCCGGCTGGTCTGCTCGAGTCTTTGCCCGTCTCGTTCCAGTGAACAGTGTTCGCGCCAAGCAGGACGGCTGCCGCCTGAAAGCACTCCTGAAAAGTTGCGATGGGCTCCTCGCACATGCCCTCGCTGACAGTAACGTACGTTGCTGTGTCGACCACCTTGGCAAGGCGGGTTGTCATGGGACACTCGAGAAGACCACTGTGCATTGCGCCATCCCGCGGCGCCAGTGACGCACGCGGCTCTGGCCCAGGCACGAATTTCGGAGGCAACGGGCCAGAGATATTCATCTCGTCCCGATTCCAAGTGTCGATCTGCATCGGAGTAATCTGGATGGACGTGGGGGAATCCACGACCACAGCGTGTCCTGGCGCGAAGCCGTGGTAAGTCTTGCGGTACTCGCCACCGTTGCCGCTCTGGATCCCCTGCCTGGTGGGAAGCCCCCGAGGGGACAGCTCCGGTCCTTCGACGATGTATCGCGGTTGGTCCCACGGCAGTTTGCCGCAACCAGCCTCGTGTTTTGCGGTGTCCTTCAGGTGAGGGTCGTTGGGGCCATCGAGCACGACCTTGCGAAAACGAACTCCAGCTCCTATGATCGTGGAACCGTAATGGTGGTTGTAAGATGCAGAGATGGGCACCGAGACGTCACCATTTGCAGTTCGCCGCACCTGGTCGATCTCCCAACCCACGATGGCCATCCCTTTTCCGCTGTATTTCTTGATGATGTCTGCGGGCAGGTCAACAGGTGGCAATGGCTTCCACCACACCTGTGAGTAAAGCGTCGTCATTGGAGGTGAGTAAACATCAAAACACTCAACGCCTCCAGGGTAGTCCCTGTAACGCTCTGGGAGCATGTTCGACTTTCCTCCAGGCGTGGCCGAGAACGGGTAATGTCCATTCATATTGTCGAGCTGCGAGGGTATGAAGCCAGGGCCCCAGTTGGGTGTAGTGGTGCACGCGCCTTGGATGAAAAGAACAGAATATGTGAACATCATTATCATTGCGATTTTGCCGCCTGGCAGCTACCGCAACTGGGAAGGACGCCCCTGAAAATGATGAACACGCTGCGGACCCGGGAAAGCCGAAACGGCTTGAGCCCCAATGGCTACGGAGGCCATCTGAGCATGTCTTGGGGCCATTTTAGCGCCGTCGCGAACAGAATGTAGCAATGTTTAGCTGCCGTGTTGGGTCGGTCTGGATCCCAAAGCTCCAAACATATGACAGGACTTCTTCTCAAATAGCCCAAAAACCTCGACAGGACTTCCGGAGTCTGTGAGCAGGACAAAGTTAAATCACATGTGGGGCGAGTACGAGGCGAAGACAACGATGGGGGGGACAAGTAGAGCTCGCCATGCAGACTCGCAAGGCGCCAGGGGCGTCGTGCTGGGTGCCTGTTGCGAGGCGGTCTCCTGGTGGCACCTCGGGAGGCTCCTGGGGGTCTCCTGGGAAGTGCGCTTCGCAACCTCAGGGGCTGGTCGGCTGTCGCTGGGGGGGGCGGCCTCGGGGCCGTGCGGGCCAGGGGCCGAGCTGGGCACGTCGTGGACGGGCCCGCTGTCGCCAGCGGCCTCGGAGCGGACCGGGCCTGGCCTCGTCTGACCTAGAGCCCTCGGGGCGACCCAGGGCGACCCCGGGCCGTCGCCGAAGCCGCGGGGGGGCGCTCGCGGGGCACGCCGTGGGCTCTCCGGGCGGCTCAGAACACATCCGCGGGGCGCCTGCGCTCTCGAAGCAAGTGGCGCGCGTGCCCTGGCCCTTGCACGAAGGAGCTGCGAGGGACATGCAGGAGGCTTTCGCCTCCTTCCTCCAGGAAGTTTCCCTCCGTGGCCTGGGGGGGGCGGAGGCCGAACGACGAACGAACGAACGCCGACGAAACTAAAGAGGTCCGAGCTCTAGAACACAGCTGTGCAAGAGAATAAAGCGACGCTGGGAGGGAGCACAGGCTCTAGGTCTCTTGCCCCCTAAAGAGCTCCAGGTGAGTCCTCCGGGGCCCTCCTGGAGGAATCTCGAGGCGGTCAGGCCCGCAACGAGAACGGCCAGGCGCCCTCGGAGACCCACCCAGGAGCCCTGCGGAGGCGTGCGTCGTGGCCGCCGCCGGACGAGGTGTGAGGCCGTTCCGCAAAGGTCGGGGGGCGGCCAGCGGCGCTGTGGTGAGGCGCGGGGGGGGGCAAGAGGAAACCCGAGGAGGGTGCGGCCCCGGGGCTTTGCGGGGCTGGCTTTCGCACCGCAGCAGAGGAACAAACGGCCGTTCGACTCCACGGACGAGTTGGCGGAATACTGCTACAAAAAACGGGGCCGCGCGAAGGAGAGCTAATGAAAGCTAGAACGAGCGATAGTAAGCTTGGCAACCAACTGTAAGTCCATAGGAGCCTGCAGAAATCCTGCAACAGATGCTAAGCAACCATGTGGCAGACCTATGCCGAACGTAAGGTGATCATGTGATCAATGATCGAAGGCCTTACTCCTAATGTTCTTATAATGCAAGCATACTTCCATGCTACAGTATGTGTGCATAGATATGTACATACATACAGGGGCGTACACCAAATGCTTGCATATAACCTGATTGTCCGCTCGTAGTAAGAGTTGTACCACACTCAACACCAACCAATGCCAGTCGTCTAACAAGCCGAGAAGAATCGTACGGCTAGTCAACATCTGAAGTGTAGAACATCTGGTTCGCAATTAACAACAAACACATAGTACTCCTACATGAATTCAACAATAATCACCGCACAACCCTGAAACAGTACTATTTGCAATACGGTTTGTAGTATCGAACCCATCCGTTAGACTCAGCACCCTATGAGTAAACGAAGGCCACAAAAATGCACATCACACCTGTTCATTGCAATCCTACAGCACGCAAGCTTCAGCCGCATCGCCACCCTTTCCCAATCGAGCGGCAGTGCTACATCCATCTCTCTAGCAGCCCTATAGAAAGACCCATGAGAAACCAAGCATCCAGGCAATCGGCTAATCAAGCAAGAAAGCACGCACGCAAGCAGTCAAAGCAAGCCTGCAATCAAAATAAAAGGAAGCACTCAAGCAAGCCAGAATACTGGTCATGTCAAGCAACGCAGCTCGTCGTAAAGATCGTGCGAATCACGCGAATCATTTACACAAGGGGCTTGAATCTGGGAGAAGGCCGCGAATCTAAAGCCAGAAATGACAATCCTCATCAAATCGGGGTCCCGAACCTGGGAGTCAGCCGCTAACACATTGAGCCGGAGTGAGGTACCCCTATCGGCACACGCATCTGGACAACGAATAGTACCTCGTCATATCGGGAAATTGGATGATTGCATGCGATTTGACGCACGGTTCGTCGAACGGGAATGCATCCTCAGCTTTGCTTCAAAACCGACAGTTTTGGAACCACCAAACAACCATTCCAAAGAAGCAGGGGGCCAGACATGACAAAGCGGGATGGCACACGTGCTTTTTGTTCCTCAGAAGCGAGCTGTAGTTTTCAACGTATCTAAAACGACCCTTCGACCCTGGGAACACACTGGAAATGCTGTTCAGCTGAAGCGGAGAAGTGGTATGCCTTTCCTTCGAGGATTGCCTTTGCTGTGGTTTCACTTGTTCAGTGGCAACTTGTCCAGCTTGCGTGCGAATCCCGTTATCCCCGCTGACCCCATCGGCGTGCACGCATCAAGTCACCAGCATCCTGGACACATGCGACCACACCCCCCTGGCAAAGACAACTGTATGATGGGTGCTGCCTGTCATTCAGCTCCCCCGCCATGTTGTGCAAGTTCTCCAACACCTTCAGCGTAGCTGCCACGTCCTGGACTGGGGTGCACTTCAATGTGGCCTAACCGCTGCACTCCGATTGCTTATCCGATTGCACCCATCTGTTGCTAACTGTGAAGCTTCACGCGACTGCTGGCCAAATGATAGCCACACGGCATACTTACATGATTTTTCTGCTGATAAGACCCCACGGGGGCCATGTTAGTAGCACTGTACCCATACTAGTAACGGCATGGGGCGCTCGAGGCACAACTTCGGCGTCTTAGCACAGAGATCCACGCAACAACGGCGTGGGCAACACTATCAGCGAATCCCTCTGAAAACGCAGTCGCTCAAATACGCAAACAATCCAATCCAAGCAGTAGGAATCACAATCAACCATCCAGGCTAAGAACCCAATCCTGCACTGCATTCGACGAACAACGCGGGTGGCAAAGCGCGAAAGGAGTGCGCCATCCTCGGCCCACGGGCGACATGCGGGCCCATCCCGATTGGCCGCATGTGATTGGAGCCACCCCGATGGGGGATGGAGAATTGCAGAAAAAGGACGAGGAGACATACCCAGAGGAAGAACCGAAAGCTCAATTTTGAAGATCTGGCCCTAACTTGGGATCCCCCAAAAACATGGAGGAGGTAAGCTTCCACCACGGAGGTCGAACCTCCATGAGGTGTTCCAAACCGTGGTTTGGAGGAAGGGGTGGTGGAAGACGGCGGACACATGTAGGGACGAATGAAGGAGGAGAAGGAGGAGGAGGGACGCTGGCGGGCCTCTGCCAGGCAGCGGCCGCCGCCACTTGCCGAGTCACTCGGGGGCGACGGACACGTCCAAGTGCGGGATGCGCCGGCGTAGCTGCTGCTGATATTTCTCCACGACATGCCTCTCGGCAGAGACAATGGCGGCAATGCCGATCTCGTTCATCATGGCGCTTTCTGCGAGCGCGCACGCGGCGCGGAAGGTGTCGGACGGACTCAACTCCCCAACGGCGTCCGCAAGTAGATCAGAGAACTGCCTCACAGTGAGCTCGGCCAGGCCCACGCGTATGGCGATTGGCTTCCAGAACTGCCACCAACGGTTCTGCCGCGCCGGGGCATGCACCAGCAGAGCCCACCTGTTCTCAGTCTTGGTCTGAGACTTCGTCTGCGACTTCGTCTGCGTCTGGGTCTGCGTCAGGGTCCTTGTCTTCGTGACCCGCTTGGTCGCAGTCGCCGCCGCCCGGGCGCAGCGGCGGCCGCGCCGGGGCGGGGGGCCAAGGAGCGCCGCGCCGCAGGCGAGCAGCGGGCTGGCAGCCGGCCTTTCCCGAGGCCTGCCCGCCGCGCCGGCCCAGGCCGCGCGGATCCCCGCGCTCGGCTGGAGCCGCGGCGCCGGCGCCTCCATCGCGACGCGCCCCCGCGCGGAGCCAGTGGTGCCGGGCGGCCGAGGGGAGAGTAGAATGGGACGCAGAATGGCATGCTGGCACTTGAACCAAAATGGCTACGGAGGAGGAGCAAGAGGAAGAAATGGGAATATAGAACTTATGAACTTATTAAAGAACGCGATCTACCGTCGCTTGACTGGAACAATTTCCTCCCCCTCTCCGGGAAACCGGGGAGAGGGGGACGGAAATTTCCCGCCCCCCACACATTCCCTGGGAACTGGGATAGGGGGGGCGGGGAGCGGGGGGGGGGCACCCCTGCGCCCAGAAACCGTGGGGGGGGGGGGGGGCACAGAAGCCCCCGGGGGGGAGGGTACCACCCCTGCCTGGAAACAGGGGGGGTTGGCAGGAGCGAGGGGGGGGCAGAGACCCCCGCCCATGCTTGGTTCGAACCGGGGAGGGGGTCAGAATCCCATTGGTTCGAACCAGAAAGGACGGGGGGCGATCACTTCCCCGCGTGAATGTTGGAGCTTTGTTTGAGCTGTGCCTGAGCTTTGTTAGAGCTTCGCTTGAGCTTTGCTTGAGCCGTGTTTGAGCTTCGTTTGAGCTGTTTTAAGCTGTGTTGGAGCTTTGTTGGAGCCTTGTTTCGGCTTTGTTTTAGCGTTGCTGGAGCTTTGTTAGAGCTTAAATTGAGCTTTGTTGGAGCTTTGCTTGAGCTTTGTTTGAGCTTTGCTTGAACTTGAATTGAGCTTTGCTGGAGCTTTGTTTGGGCTTTGATTGAGCGTTGCTGGAGCTGTGTTGGAGCTTTTTCTGAATTGAGCTTTGTTGGAGCTTTGCTTGAACTTTAATTGAGCTGTGTTGGAGCTTTGCTTGGGCTTTGTTTGAGCGTTCTTGGAGCTTTGTTTAAGCTTTGTTTGAGCTTTGTTTGAACGTTGTTGGAGCTTTGTTGGAGCTTTGCTTGAGCTTTGTCTGAGTGTTGAGACTTTGTCGCAGTTTTTTGGGAACTTTGTTTGGACTTTATTTAATTGAGCTTTGTTGGAGCTTTGTTTGGGCTTTGCCTGAGCGTTGTTGTAGCTTTGTTTGAGCGGTGTTGGAACTTTGTTTAAGCTTTGGCTCAATGTTGATAACCAATTGATTTAGTTTTGTTTGGGCTCTGTTCATGTGTTGTTTGAGCTTTGTTGGAGCTTTGCTTCAGATTTGTCTGAGCGTTGGTTGGGCTTTGTTTGAGCTTTGATTGATATTGCGGCGACGACGACGACGGAAGCGGCGACGGCGAAGGCGATGACGACGGGCGGGACATTAAGTGTAACCCTCACTCGGTGACGGGACAGGATGAGGGGAATATCTAAAACACCTACCTGGGACGCCGTTCGGGCGGATGCACCATTCGCGGCGAGAGTTATGCTCGTGTATTTGCGTAGTGTATGTGCGTAGTGTATTTGCGTAGTGTATTCGCGTAGTGTATTTGCGTAGTGTATTTGCGTAGTGTATTTGCGTAGTGTATTCGCGTAGTGGATTTGCGCAGTATGCTTGCGTAGTGTGTTTCGTAATGTCTTTGCGCAATGTATTTGCGTAGTGTCTTCGCGCAATGTGTTCGCGTAGTGTGTCTGCATAATGTTTTTACGTCGTGTTGTTTGCGCAATGTTGTTGCGTACGGTTTCTCGCGTAATGTTCCTTGCGTAATGTTTCTTGCGTGATGTTTTCGCGTAGTGTTTCTTGCGTCGTCATCTTGCGGTGTGCTTTCACGCAACGTGTTTGCGTGGTGTTTCTGCGTTGTGTTCCTGCACAATGTTTCTGCGCAGTGCTTCGGCGTGCCGTTCGGCGTGGCGTTTCGGCGTGTTGTTTCGCGACGTGTTTCGGCGTGGACGACCACGTCGGGGCGTAAGTTATTGGCATCGTGTCTCGGTAATGAGCGTGATTTTTACGTAGTGTATCTGCGTAGTGTATTTGCGTAGTGGATTTGCGTAGTGTATTTGCGTAGTGTTTTTGCGTAGTGTATTTGCGTAGTGTATTTGCGTAGTGTATTTGCGTAGTGTATTTGCGTAGTGTATTCGCGTTGTGTATGTGCGCAGTATGTTTGCGTAATGTATTTCGTAATGTATTTGCGCAATGTATTTGCGTAATGTCTTCGCGCAATGTGTTTGCGTAGTGTGTCTGTGTAATGTTTTTCACGTCGTGTTGTTTGCGCAATGTGTTTGCGTAATGTGTCTCGCGTAATTTTTCTTGCGTAATGTTTCCTGCGTGCTGTTTTCGCGTAGTGTTTCTTGCGTCGTAATCTTGCGGTGTGCTTTCACGCAGCTTGGTTGCGTGGTGTTTCTGCGTTGCGTTCCTGCACAATGTTTCTGCGCAATGCTTCGGCGCGCCGTTCGGCGTGGCGTTTCGGCGCGTTGTTTCGCGACGCGTTTCGGCGTGGACGACCACGTCCGGGCGTAATGTATTGGCATCGTGTCTCGGTAATGAACGTGATTTTTGCGTAGTGTATCTGCGTAGTGTATCTGCGTAGTGTATATGCGTAGTGTGTTTGCGTAGTGTATTTGCGTAGTGAATGTGCGTAGTTGTTTTGAGTTGTGTATGTGCGTTGTGTATTTGCGTAGTGTATTTGCGTAGTGTATTCGCGTTGTGTATTCGCGTAGTGCATTTGCGCAGTATGTTTGCGAAGTGTGTTTCGTAATGTATTTGCGCAATGCATTTGCGTAGTGTATTTGCGCAATGTGTTTGCGTGGTGTGTCTGTGTCATGTTTTTACGTCGTGTTTTTGCGCAATGTTTTTGCGTAATGTTTCTCGCGTAATGTTTCTTGCGTAATGTTTCTTGCGTGATGTTTTCGCGTAGTGTGTCTCGCGTCGTAATCTTGCGGTGTGCTTTCACGTAACGTGTTTGCATGGTGTTTCTGCGTTGTGTTCCTGCGCAGTGTTTCTGCGAAGTGCTTCGGCGTGCCGTTCGGCGTGGCGTTTCGGCGTGTTGTTTCGCGACGCGTTTCGGCGTGGACGACCACGTCGCGGCGTAATGTATTGGCATCGTGCCTCGGTAATGAACGTAATTTTTGCGTAGTGTATCTGCGTAGTGTATCTGCGTAGTGTATATGCGTAGTGTGTTTGCGTAGTGTATTTGCGTAGTGTATTTGCGTAGTGTATTTGCGTAGTGTATTTGCGTAGTGCATCTGCGTAGTGTATTCGCGTAGTGTATTTGCGCAGTATGCTTGCGTAGTGCATTTCGTCATGTATTTGCGTAGTGTATTTGCGTAGTGTCTTCGCGCAATGTGTTTGCGTGGTGTGCCTGCGTAATGTTTTTACGTCGTGTGTTTGCACAATGTTTTTTTGCGTAATGTGCCTCGCGTAATTTTTCTTGCGTAATGTTTCTTGCGTGATGTTTTCGCGTAATGTTTCTTGCGTCGTAATCTTGCGGTGTGCCTTCACGCAGCTTGGTTGCGTGGTGTTTCTGCGTTGTGTCCCTGCGCAATGTTTCTGCGCAGTGCTTCGGCGTGCCGTTCGGCGTGGCGTTTCGGCGCGTTGTTTCGCGACGTGTTTCGGCGTGGAACGACCACGTCGGGGCGTAATGTATTGGCATCGTGTCTCTGTAATGGGCTTGATTTTTGCGTAGTGTATCTGCGTAGTGTATATGCGTGGTGTGTTTGCGTAGTGTATTTGCGTAGTGTATTTGCGTAGTGTATTTGCGTAGTGTAGTTGCGTAGTGTATCTGCGTAGTCTATTTACGTAGTGTATTTGCGTACTGTATTTGCGTACTGTATTTACGTAGTGTATTTACGTAGTGTATTTACGTAGTGTGCATTTCACCTTTAAAATTTCTAATTCACCATTTAAATTTTCTTTTCACCATTAAGAACAACCGTCCTCGATAATGGGGCGTTCAGTCGGGCGGGCGGACAAAGTTGGGGGAAATGCATTACAATCACCGAAGACGCTGGTGGGGCGGGCGGGACATTAAATGAAACCTTCGCTCAATGATGGGTCGTCGTCATCATCATCAACATCATCATCAGCACCATCACCACCACCACCACCACCACCATCATCATCATCATCATCATCATCATCATCATCATCATCATCATCATCAGCATCATCATCATCATCATCATCATCATCATCATCATCATCATCATCATCAGCACCATCATCATCGAAAGAGCGTGTTCTACCGCTGCTGGCGGAAAACCGGGGGGGGGTCACTACCGGTTCGAACCCCTCCCCCCCCCCTCCGGAAAACCGGGGGGGGTCACTACCGGTTCGAACCCCTCCCCCCCCCCCCAATTCATCATGAAAAGGGGGGGGGGTCACTACCGGTTCGAACCCCCCCCCCCCCCCCCCTCGAACTCGAAAACCGGGGGGGTCACTACCGGTTCGAACCCCCCCCCCCCCCCTCGAAAACCGAGGGGGGGTGCGGACAGTGGTGGGGACGGTGGTGGTGGGGACAGTGGTGAGGGGACAGCGGGACAGTGGTGGGGACAGTGGGACAGTGGTGGGGACGGTAGTGGTGGGGACAATGGTGAGGACAATGGTGGGAACAGTGGGGACAGTGGGACAGTGGTGGGGACGGTGGTGGTGGGGACAGTGGTGTGGGGACAGTGGGAATGTGGTGGAAACAGTAGGACAGTGGAGGGTACAGTGGTGGTGGGGACAGTGGTGAAGGCGGTGGCGAGGACGGCGGTGGGACAATGGGACAGAGGTACAGTGGGGACAGTGGTAGGGACAGTGGGGACAGTGGTGGGAACAGTGGGACAGCTCAGTGGTTCGAACCGGTAGTGACCCCCCCCTCCGGTTTTCGAGGGGGGGGGGGGTTCGGGGGGGGGGGGGTTAGGGAGGGGGGGTTTTGGCCGGGAAGGGGGGGGGGGGAAGGGGTTCCAGCAGGGGGGGGGGGGGATTTTCGGAGGGGGGGGGGGGAAACCCCAGGTTCCGGAGGAAAAGGGTGGCAATTTTCCACAGTAAAGCGGCGGTGGATCACGCTCTCTCTCATCATCAGCATCATCATCATCACATCATCATCGTCAACATCATCACATCATCACCACCACCACCACCACCACCATCATCATCATCATCATCATCATCATCATCATCATCATCATCATCATCATCATCATCATCATCATCATCAACATCCTC